CACCTCATGGTAGTCACTTGGAATGGTAGTTCCATTTAAGTACTGGAAGCATAATTTCCAATCGAGTGAATGTAAGGGAAACCCCAGGGATCTTTAATAGAAAAGACTTATTGCACAAAGATGATAAATTGCAAGCCATTTGAGATGATCTATTCTGTACAAGTGGCCTGTGGTTCGCCAGGTACTGGTTGTTCAGTATGCAGACAGGCGCGTAGCAGTCTAGACATTCGCAAGTATAGACAGTGCGCAGTGTAGCTACCAGGCAGGCGATCGTGACCAGAGTTAAGTCATATCGTAAAACAAGCCACGCCATTTTAAGTTCTTTTATAGGTTTTAAAATTCATATTTCATGAACGGATGGAACACGCTCTGAATAAAGTTAAAAGTTAACGTACCGCAATGTATACTGTACTAAAATTAATTAAACCATCCGATTGAATGTTGGTCGTTCAGTGTACTTTAAACAGTATCAAGGTAGTTTAATTAGCCTAAACTAATTGTAGTTAAATGTCTAGCTTGCAACACTGATTTTTGACTGGCAACCCATTTACAAGAACCTGCTGTAGCAAATTGTTTTATTCAAATTGAACGTAGTTCATGGAGATGGTAATTTAGAGTAAAAGGTTTAATATGGGTTAGTTGATGTTTTAATATTTGTCGTTAGATTGCAGTTTGACATTTTCAGATCTGTTTCAACGTTGATTTTTAAGTCCAGTTAGGAATTAATATAATAAATTAAATTTTCTATAGATCCAATTCGTGTAAGATTTTTTGGGTTTTATGTATGTAAAGTAAAAAATATATATGCGACAGACATCATGTTATATCTGAAACATGATTAAATAATTATTAAACATTGTTATTAATTCTTCCGATATAAAGTGTCTCGTAAGTAAACAGCCAAACTACGATAAATGGTTTTATGGGTGAAAAAAGAGAAAATTGAGAATGACATTTCTCCTAAAAACACTTTGTTTATCACATGTCTGTAATTTTTACATAAACAATTTTAACATTGAATTTTTTGAACCGACTTTTAACTTTGAACCGATCTTTATGAATCATTGTATGTGTACCAAGAGACCTGTGTACGGAAAATAATAGTTGGTCCAATTATTTACTGATACATACTACCGGTACAGCTTTTTTATTCAACTCATTAACTGATCGATGGTGTTGAGCTTGATATTGTTTGATAATAAACTTCAAATGCTAAAAATAGGTGTCTTGAAATTTTTCATCCAAAAAGCCATTTTTCTTTAATTTAAATTATACAAATTATAATGGCTATCATTCTGAAATTTAAAATTGAACCAACTGGATTTTTTATCACCGTTTTCTTCAACCTAAACTTCATGCAAAGTTTTATACAGGTCGGTTGTAAAACAACAAAACGGTGGTTATCTAAATATATAAAAGGCAAAGCCCTCACTGACTGACTCACTCACTCACTCACTCATCACTAATTCTCCCACTTCCTATTTACCTAGAAGGCTGAAATTCGGTACATCGATTCTTTGGACATTAAATAGGAAAACTAAGTAGTTTTTATTCTGATCAGGCTTTCGGGCTCCACCCCAGTGGCTCTGGAATTTCCCATGTTAACCTTATGATTTTTCATATTTAAAAGGAATTTCTAAACAGCTGTTTCAATTAAACAAGTTGGTTCTGTTCTATGATGTTCAATAGCATTAAAGTTACAAGGATTACCAACAGGGTGCAGCACTATAATTTTTTTTTAATTTATTACTACAGCCAATTTGCAAACAAAAGGTGAGTGAGCGTAGCGAACGAACTTCAACCTGGAAGCGAGATAGCGTAGCGAACGAGCTAACCTGAAGGCAAGTGAGCGGAGGGAACGAGCTCCAACCTAAAGGTGAGTGAGCGTAGCAAACGAACTTCAACCAGGACGTGATTGAGCCATGCGAACGAGCTCACTTGTGAAGTTAAACGGGGCAAAGCCCGCGGGTACAGCTAGTCTGTATGATGAAGTATTTTTGGGAAAAACTTCATTATCGATTTTCTCTTTATTTTGACCCACAAAACCATTTTCCGAAGTTTGACTGTTTACTTACGGGTCACACTGTATGACTCTGGTGAAGATGATATAAAAAAGAGAGTATCAATTTAAAATTTTTGATAACCTTTGTTGGTGCCACCATTTATCTGTCTGACATTAATTGCTTTTACCCAAGCCAACGTGATGATAGAAATTATCAGACATTATCAGGCCAGCTTGGGATTATTTAACTGGTTTAGTAAACCTTGTCTATCAAATTTAAAACAAACAGATCTCATGGTTTCCAAATAAAGATTGGACACTCTCTTTGTGATGGACAACTAACTCTTTGTAAACGTTAATATATTTCACTATTTTTTTAAACGTTTTTATTAGCTCGCTTTCTTGTCCGGTACAAATTTTGCAATCAATTTTATACTAACTTCCCGATGAGCTGGAGACTTGAAATTTAAAACATAGCTCACAAATGGATGACAGTGCAATATTATATCATTTAATTTTCATATTTCCCTTTGGCTACGCCCCATGGGCTTCCAAATTTTCCATGTTTATATTTTGAAAGAATGTAAATATATCAATTAATTTAAGTCAGCTGTAAATACTTAAATTTGGCAGTTCGAAGAGCAGAGGTTAAGAGGTACAGGTTATGCTCCGGAATGGGCACACGGAAGGGACTAAGGCTAAAGGTGTGGTGACGTCATATCTCTAGTGGCTAATGTCTTCTCTTGAGGCTACACGATTACCGTAACGAAACGATGTGATTTCAGCGGCGTTCGTGGCACAGTTGGTAGCGTTTCGGATTGATGTGCAGGAGGTCCCGGGTTCGAATCCCGCTGGCAGCCCTAACTTTTTGTCAAAAAATTTTTATATCAGCAAGTTTGGTTGGTTAGGTTAGGTTATGACAGTTTAATTTTATAACACTAAATTTTAAAATTAATTTTATAATTAATTAAAAATTATAAGTAATCATTAATTAGATTTTTATCTTATCAGCAAGTCTGGTTGGTTAAGTTATGTTATGACAGTTTAATTTTAAAAATTAAAAATTTATTTTATAATTTTAAAACAATATTTTATAATTAAAAAGTTAATTTTATAACTAAAAAAAATTAATTTACATTTTTTCAACTTAGAAGTTCCAGCAGCGAACGCTGACACTACCAGATATGTTAGCCTTAGTCCCTCCCGTGTGCCCCACCGGTTATGCTCCCAAGAGATTCTTTATACAAACAAACATTTCAAAATAAAGATAAACAATCTGATTGCAGATATAAAGGTGTTTGTTAATAATGTCAATTGTTATTTATTTATAAAGTAAACAATAAAATAAATATATTGATATATTTATAGTTAGTAGGTAGGTCATTCATTCAATCTAATACATAATTATATGAAAAGACACTCAAATAAACCTTAGATTTCCCACATGCCTCTGTCTTAATCTGATATAGATGCTTGAAATAGATTTAACATCCACAGACATTAAAAACAAAAAAAAAAAAATAAAATAAATACTTGGCTCTTAGTATAAATACTTGTTAGATTTAAAACGAAAAACGTAGGGTGAATGCAATTGATAATAATAGATTAGTTCAATAGGTGAAGGTAAATTATTTATTGCATGAACCCCACGTTTTTCGTTTTAAATCTTACAAGTATTTATACTCTCCGCATATTTATAAATTATTTTATACTTTTTAGTGCGTTTAAAAAGTTTTGTTTTAAAAAAGTTTTTATTTATAAATTATGTTTATTTCAGCTTAACTTAACCAAACCAATCAATAGTTTGATTAATACTTATGAAGTCAAACGGGGTGAAGCCAGTGGGTAACAGCTAGTTAATACATAATACCAATTTATATTGGACTACTGAAGTATACACGGGATGTATACCGTACACATTATTGACCAGATAATAATTAATTAAAGAAGTGCCTAGTTAATTAAGCCACTTAACATAGTATGTTACAGTCTAACACTCTATTTCCTCGCTTGTTTTGTGATTTTTATAGCTTATGTGATATGAGATGCCATAGTTCAAAAAGGGCTGCATTCAGTTTGACTTCTGAAGTTGGTATGATTGATCAATGAGCAATTTACACCAGCACTCTCTATCGGGGGCTCAGTTCAACTAGTTTTATTTTTGTACTAACTGGCTGAAGCTTTTAGAATGCTAGCAAACTGGTATCAGGCGGTGGCCTTAGAAAGTTTGATGGTTGCTCTATAAATGTTTACTGCACAGTGGTCCCTGCCCTAGGTCACGTGCTGGAAGGGACGGTCACCCCCCAAGGTTCCCGACGGGCGATTCTACGCACGCGGCCACGGATTCGTTACAGTTACAGAAGAGGTCGTCCTAGGGCTATAAACTTGTCCCATTGACTTCATGTTTATGCTTAGTGTTTCACTGCTGTCATTATCATTTGTAAAGTTCTGAAAGTTTAGTAAACTTGAATTGAAGTGATTTAATTGCTATAATAAATGTATTATAAACATATATGCATTTATGTACGATAGGCATATAGCTTTGAGGTTTAGGTTGATGAGGTATATTTAATTTATGATATTTTAAAATAAAACAATACCCTGTTCGAAGCTGATGTTTCGGTTAAAATACTTTGCAATGTATAACTTCCTCACTTACAGTTGCGCTCTTAATTTCAACAAGATCTTTATATCATGATCAGCATGGTTATCATCTATCAATTTTGGATAAAGTAAAATGCGGTCAATATTGTTGTTTTTTTTAGAATGCGCTACTGCCATAACATTGAAAACTAACTTTTTTTAAGCTGCACAAGCAATAATTAGGACAATTGTCACCTCACATGAGAGTAAGATAAAACTGACCAATCAGACGCACGTAAGGACGTGTGTTCTGGATCACGCCACGAGTAGACGGACAGACAGACGCCGCAAGTTCAATCTCTCCTCACTGGGAGCGCTGGGAGAATGGTGTGAAACTAACGCCAAGCTTCTCAGTCGACCCGCCGCGTTGCCATTGGTTACATGTCTCTCAGAACTAGAAACATCGTACATCAATTGCGGCCGGCAAAAGTAAACAATAGTATTTATCGTACATAAAAACAATATGAGTTGAACAATCAATTGGACAAATTTTTTTTTATATTTTCTTTGTACAATTTCAGACTTATCTTTTTTCCGATATGTTACTAGAATAGTATACAGTATATTGTGTGGCCAGTGGTGAGATGGTGGTAGTGACTGGACGGTGGTGGTTCACTTTAGTGGTTGTGGTGTTGTCTGTGGTGAACTGTGACACCAAGATGTTCAACTTCATCGGCCGGGAGACTCTCAGTGACGGCGAGACAGAGACTCTGGTACATTACGATGGTCTCACGGCCAAGGAGACGTCCGTAGTCGCACGAGGAGGCAATCATACGTAAGGCTAACTACACAACTAGCATAGAATACACAGTATACTAAAGCAGCAATCTATCACTAAAAAACATTTAGTTCAACATGTGAATTTGTTTAATTTTTATAGAACCCTCCATTCACTGTTGTTAGTAAACTACTTATATTGTTATCCAGCCAATAACAGTGGATTATTTTATAAAATAATGAATTAATGAGCGATGAAAGCTCTAATATTAAAAATAAAAACAGACAAAACAATTGGTTTCATACAGGTCACATATTGTTTATTGTTTTTATATGGGGGGAGGGGTGAGTAATAAATTGATGAATGTACTTAACCTATTGATAAAAGCCTTTGATAAAACCTATTAACACCTATTATTTTCCGCTTTTGACTTGTTCTCAGAAAAATAATATCACAATATTGAGTTATTAATAAAAATTAAGTTAGTTTGCCTGAAGACTGTAATATCTTTATCGTGTATCCAGCTATAGATTAGTAAGCTATTATTAGTAAGCAGTGTTAGTATATTTGCTCGACGAGGTTTCTCGACATTTTCCGGTACTTAAATATTTTTTATCACGGTATTTTTTATTGTTTGATGTAATATACAAGGGTTTAAATTGAATTACATCTGAATAGTTTTAATAATTTACTCTAAACACACACACACACCAAGTATTAAAGAGTTGTATTTAAACGCTGTTTAAGCTTTTATAAACGCTATCCCCAGAATACGAGTTTTGAGGAGTTTCATTAACATCGGCGCCGCGTTGCACACTGGAGGCAATCACCGGCGAGTTTACCCTGACGCGTTATCTGATGTGGCGAGATAGAGCCCGTACAAACACACGCACCCGGCCCCCCTGCTAATACTCTACACATTATGTGTTCTGTTAATGGTAACTTGACTTATTGGTACAGAGGTAGCTGTCCTGGGAGTGTGGTAATTACCAGGTCATAGTATTTTTGACACCTGAGTTTATTACATAGCCTACTTCTGTTTGTCCTACCCTTACATCCTAGGACACTAGGCTAGAGCCCGAAACTGTTTCCCAAATTGCTTTAAGCTTAGACATAGAGGGTCGCGTAGTGTTGTAATCATACTGTATAGCCAAAATACATTGCTCACCAGTGGCATCTATGTAACTCGGGGACCAAGGTGCTGCCACCACAGTAGGTCTAAAAACTTATTTATAGAACATTTTTCACTAAAACAACTTTCTTGTGCAAGAAACACTATTGTCTGTGAAATAACAAGGTCGTTTTTCTATAATTGACAATTTATATAACTTTTATCCCTATTTGAGATTCATTGACCATCCATCGACCAAATCAATTTACATTGTTTCACAAAATTGTATTTATTAGTTGACAAATTGAAATAGAGCATATGTCCTTCGGTCGAAATATGGTTGAAAACTTTTTTTGCTTTTTAAGATAGAGGTGTAATTCCAGATTTTTATTTTTAAATATTATTGATGTAATTTGCACTTTTAAGTTTACCGTGCTCTGTTTAATTACTTTGGTGTTAATCTAGCGCCCCTTGCCTGAGCTCTGTTGGCCCGTAACTTGCTGATAAAGTGATAAGGGCTGTGCAAGACCGGCCATGTCGGGTCACTGATCGCCACTGTTAATGATACTAGGATGTATAAATACATTTGTTTATTATCATGTATAGCGTGTTGAACGTTCGAAATACAAGCATTGAACCCATTCTATCAATTCATGCCATTCTATCATATCATTGACACAACACTAGTGTGTTGATACAATGTGAGTTTTTGTTTTGTTTATCTTATTGAAATACCTTATTTAGAAGAACACGTTCTTTTAAGAGACATCTTTGTTGGCGCTATTATTCAGTTAGTAACAACTGTCAAAAATAAGGATATTTGAGTTTTGAGTTTTTTGAGTTTTATGCATTTATCCACGACATCGAGGTCCGAGGACAGTAACTGGACAGACAGCTGCTGCCTCTCAACAAACTTCTTTAACGATGGGGAAATCTTTAAGTTATACTCTATCTCACGATTCCAACATTCATTTAAACCACCATTGTATAAAATAACAATAAATTTGAACAGGAACACATCTTATAACATTCACTGCAAAATTAATTCTAGAAAGCGCCACGGTGGGTTGTCTACAGATTTATTGTTACACCACATTTCACCTTTTTGCAATTCCTCCTACCTGACCCGCTTGGCACCAACAACATTCGGCACATTCAGGGGTTGCCAAATCAGCTGTGCGAAACAGTCAAGGTCAGGTTAGAAGAGTGGTGACGTCAAAGAAGACAAGTCCTAGAATAGACTACTGAGTAACACAAACTACCATCGCTTCTAGCATGGACGTTCCGTGGCGCCAGCCAGGCTCGTTGATCAAGATTGGCTTTAATATATTTGCAGTCTTTGCAATGGAATTCACAGGGTCGGTACAGTTTTAGCAACTGATTCATTTAAGCAATTAGGAAATCCAAAATGGATACATGCATTTATATAACGTATTTGCCATGATTTAACTTATCATAGTCCTTACGCTATAAATACCATATGTGAATGACTAAAGAAATATACAAAATCCACACAGATTCAAGGTGTTTCAATATGAATCCTAAATTAATATACAGGGTGATTCAAAAAGGACTTTACAGCTTTGAAAATTCATATAAATCTTATTAAACAAGGTACAGATGTGGTTTTGGTGTTGTTTTAAAGGAAAACACTTCAAGTTTTTTACCTTAAACTAAAGATGTTCTATGCGACTTCCGTTGGATTTGGGGAAAATAATTATTTAGGTATGAAAAAATAGTGAAAACCGTTAAAAATTTGAGAGGGATTACAAAATTTTGAAAGTAGGGCGTTTTTTGACGGTGAAGGAGTGCGATACACCCACTCCTAGATGTGCTAGGGAGTTGAAATTTCGCACACTTGTAGTTCTTGGTTCCAAACCACCTATAAAATTCCGAAAAGTCGCATTTTAAAATTTTAAACCCCCCAAAAATCCAAAATGGCGGACCTCTAAAAACGACAAAACACGTTTTTTTCAAACGGCTATAGCTCGAAAACGGTAAGAGCTAGAAAAGATTTGAGGAAAAAAAGTAGGTTCGGAATTAAATTTCCTACAAGACACTATTATGCGTTTTTCGAAAATCGCACTTCTTCACCGTCAAAAAACGCCCTACTTTCAAAATTTTGTAAATTTCTCTCAAATTTATAACGGTTTTCACTATTTTTTCATACCTAAATAATTATTTTCCCCAAATCCAACGGAAGTCACATAGAACATCTTTAGTTTAAGGTAAAAAAACTTGAAGTGTTTTCCTTTAAAACAACACCAAAACCAGCTCTGTACCTTGTTTAATAAGATTTATATGAATTTTCAAAGTTGTAAAGTCCTTTTTGAATCACCCTGTACTTAAGTAATACATTTTCCGATCTCAGAGAGATAATGCATAGCCTATACCATGGTTTGTAATTTTTGTATTTAAAAAATAAAAAATAACATTATATTACTGTGCATATCCCTTGAAACTGCTTGAACTGTCAACATATTTTCGTAAAGGGTATTTTGTGGGGTTTAAATACGCTATCGGTTTTATATACCTAGACGTAGTAACCGAACAGTTAAATAAGTAACTGAACACTGAGTAAGACATCTAATAGAAAATACAAACACCCATTAATAAAGTATACATAGGTATAGGGGAACAAAGAGAAAATCATAAAATAATATTTTCACTACTTACTTGTGTAACCGATCTTGTACCTATCACAAATATTTAGATAAACTTTTAGACAGACTTCCTACAAGAGACGTATACACTGTATACAGTTACTGTATCACGAGTCATACTGTGTTTATGTTAACATGACCTTGACTGTGAACTGTTCAAGTGGTGTGACCTGATAACGCGATAAAGACTGTTTGAAAACATTCATACGCCAGAAACTAACCAAACCTCCGTTTCAGTTGAAATTTAGAGTTCGCATCAGTATCTTATACATTTAATGGATTCTTCGTCATAGGTAACTTTATATGAGTTGAGACAAATCAAAGTTGTGAGTGACCAGAGAGCACAGGGATTGCAATATTATTAAATTCCAACGGTTGGAAAGGTCTAGGAGGCTCGTCTTAGGCTTTTGGCAACAAAGCTAGACATACAAAATTAGAGTTGCTAGAACGTCGACCGGCGCCGCGCCGTGGCTGTGTCCAGTGTGTAGTTGTGTTGTGAGTTTGATGACTTGGCTTACATATACTTATACATATTAAGGATCGTGTATAACGACCAAATGTAATAGTTTTTTTAGTGTATGTGATATAAAATATGCTTTGGTTTAATAGCAGTCCTGTTCGTTTGGCTTGATTAAACAGTTGTTGTTTAAGACAAGATTGCAATGCATAAATTTAATTTCAACGCAAAAACCAAAGTAAAACTCAACAAATAAAAAATGCTACAAAATACGGTTGAAATATAAAAATAATTATGCAATTCCTAGATACGTTCTTTCTGTGAATAAATGCATTCTTTTATGAAATGCAACTCTCCAAGGTCCCAATTAAGATAAGAATGCAAGAGTAATGTGACAAGTTGTCGACACATGAAGTGTGTGAATGTTATCAGTGAATCACAGCGCGACTGACGGCGACCAAACACGACACTTCACGGAAACATCCGAATACAACCGCGAACATGGACTGTACATTGTAATGTTATTGCAATGTTACTGTGTGAGTGGACCATGGACTCATATCGACGTTGGAGTGGCGATATCAATTCGTAAAATGTAAACAAACCGCGGTTTTTATGTTTGATCGTTTATAGTAATCAATTTAATTAAAGACTTCAGTTTTTTGTTGTTGTAAAATACTCAACTTTAAGTAAATTTTCATAATTTGTGGTTTGGAATGTAACTAATATATTGTATTCACCTATGGTAATTGTGAAGCAACTCACTTGGTGAGTACCGGTAACTCATTTAACAATGTTCTTTTTTATAGCAAAAGTTTGCCACAGCTGGTCCATTAGGCTATAACAGTAGGTGAGCTATCCAAGTATTGGGTATATCTATCCCCTACATCAGGCCGACTGCTGCAACGTATTCCCACCAGGCTCAATGACAGCCTGAGTGCAGTTTACATGCAACTTCCATTATTTGCACTACAGTTATAAATCGGATTTCATGCGACTGCAACATAGTTTGATAGTGTCAGGACAACGGATAAAACCCCTGTTAATGTTTAGATTGTTGTCAACTAACTTTAATCAGCTTTAATGTTAATTCAGTGCAAAAATGTATGACACACCTGTTCAGTTCTTTCACCTAAGTTTTCTTTAGCCTGTTTAGAACAGCTGATGATTTTAAAATGATTAATAATATTGTAAAAATAAATATTCCTTTCTGTTCTTCTTATAAACATGGTTTACTATTTTTTCTCTCTCTTAATATTTCATTAATAATCACAAATACTCCACATTATTTAATGGTCATCAGCTGTTCTAAACAGGCTAAAGAAAACTTAGGTGAAAGAACTGAACACACACCCGTTGTTTACATTTCAGTTTCGATTGAACGATTCTGCTGAAGTAAATAATAATAAGGAAATCGAATGAGTCTTATATTCAATTTATGGCCCGATAGATTTTATGGTAACTTGTATATTGAGCTTGAATTTAACCAAATGCCCTGCAGGAAGACACTGGAGTTTTCATAGCACAGCCCAAGTGTGACCAGTTCGTGGTCCCAGGAATTTAAAAATCACCGTTCATTCGGTTTTAATTTTTTTAACCGAAAATTTTTTTTAAATATGAAAATTAAAATGTTCATTGCTATCATCATTCATTCATCATTTTTATCATTGAGTTGGGGATTGGTGTGTATTATTTTTATTTAGTAGGTCCAATAATACTTTTGTTGAAGTTCACACTGATTAAAATATTAAATTAAAATAATTAATAAGAATAAAAAGTCCACACTTTTATAAAATATTATACCGTACTAAACTAATAAACCAATAACTTCCATGATTCAAATATAGATCATTTAAACAATCTAATCAATGAAACTCTGGGAAATAAAAACGCTGACTAAAAACTAAGGTTTATATATTACAGTATATGCAAGTTGGCAAGCCGTTGAAGGAGCTGGTGCATGCCTCGCTATGCTATGCAGTCTCTGTATTGAGGTGCGTGCCCTTTGTTGATCAAGAGCTCTTATAGGCACTCTTGCATCGAGAAGAAGAGCTTGCTCTCTTTATATATTTTTAAACCTTCCTCTTTATAACTAAACTTCCGTATATCTTTTATTAGATATCCACTTTAAAATCCTTACTCCTTTATGAATTTAATTTTAATAGATTCAATCTGCCAAAATCCGATGTTCATTATCTTTTTAAGTAGTATTTATTGTTTTAAAATGTTTCATATATGACCTACAAACTAAAAACATTCTAATAACTTATATTGCAGATTTGTTTTAAAACTATTTCTTAATTAATTTTCTATGAATTTAAATACGTCTCTCTTTTGTTGTTGAAATACAAAATTGTTTAAAGACTTATGAAAATTACTTATAAAAAGAACTAAAAAACCCTGAGAAACTTAAGAGTGGACTTTTTTCTTTTATTAAAATAAAATGTGAACAAAGACTGAACAGTTGAACTGTGAACTTTCCTGAACAAAGACATACAATCAAAATTTTACACAACAGGAGTTACGTAGAGTTTTCTGTAGCTGTGACAAGCTTTTAGCTATTTAGACGTTGGAACCCTTTTATTTACGCTGCAGTAAGTATGATATTAATATTCATTGGTTATTAATAAATTGATCGGATTATTTAAGGTACTCTCTTCCATTGTTCAATTATTTGTAAAGTAGCTATCTCACGTATTCCAATAAATTCTAGTGATTATTTTATAATACAAACTATGACAACTGGAAGCATTACACATGTACCGAGGTATTTGAATGATTTGCCGACGCCCGACGATTCATCTACACACATTGACAAAGGCTTCAAATATAGACCATCACAGAAAGCAGAAGACAGGCTAACATTGGATTGAGTACATTGGTAGATCAGACAAACTATGACACACAGTTTATATTGAAGAGATCGCAGTGTAACATCATGTACATATATAAAATGACAAAAATTGTGATCATAAAATCAGTAAATATTGTAAATATCAACTGCACCTTGAACATTTCTATGATCCAGCTGATATACATTAGCCATAGTTGAACCTTTGATCATACAATCTTATTGTCATGTGTATGTCCTCATTGAAGCTACGTCAGTTGAAGGACGGTGATCACCTGATCCAGGAGTTACAGTTGAACCTTTGACTATATTTACTTGTGATGTCACCTCTGTGTCATGTGTAGGTCCTCATTGAAGCTACGTCAGCTGACGGACGGTGATCACATGATCCAGCAGTTACAGTTATACCTTTGATTATATATACTTGTGACGTCACCTCTGTGTCGTGTGTAGGTCCTCATTGAAGCTACGTCAGCTGACGGACGGTGATCACCTGATCCAGCAGTTACAGTTGAACCTTTGATTATATATTTGTGACGTCACCTCTGTGTCGTGTGTAGGTCCTCATTGAAGCTACGTCAGCTGACGGACGGTGATCACCTGATCCAGCAGTTACAGTTGAACCTTTGATCATATATACAGTACTTGTGACGTCACCTCTGTGTCATGTATGTGTAGGTCCTCATTGAAGCTACGTCAGCTGACGGACGGTGATCACCTGATCCAGCAGTTACAGTTGAACCTTTGATTATACACTTGTGACGTCACCTCTGTGTCGTGTGTAGGTCCTCATTGAAGCTACGTCAGCTGACGGACGGTGATCACCTGATCCAGCAGTTACAGTTGAACCTTTGATTATACACTTGTGACGTCACCTCTGTGTCGTGTGTAGGTCCTCATTGAAGCTACGTCAGCTGACGGACGGTGTACACCTGATCCAGCAGTTACAGTTGAACCTTTGATCATATATACTTGTGACGTCACCTCTGTGTCGTGTGTAGGTCCTCATTGAAGCTACGTCAGCTGACGGACGGTGATCACCTGATCCAGCTGATATACAGCGGCCAGGGAGAGCTGCAAGACTGCGAGTACCTGAGGCAGGACGCGGCTGTGAGGCAGTTCCAGGAGAACGTGAGGCAGACTGTGGAGGCCCGGGGGAACGTGCGCTCGCTGGACGGTCGTCGTCTACCTCCGGAGTTGGCGGAGTGGATGGACTACGCGCTGCTGAAGAAGCAATGTCACAGACATCACCGTCGTCTGAGGAGACTGGCTCGTCGGAGATTCAAGGGAGGGAAGTTGCAGAGAGCGCGTGCCGACAGGGATATCCAGAGGTAAACACATAGATTTATAATAACAACTGAGTTTTGTTATTATAAATCTATGGGTAAACATGATGCTACATGATGGGTAAAATAGACATCTGTTGAGGTGTCATAATGATACAAAAGATCTCTGATAAGCATTTGTTTTGCTGAGTAATATACTACCATACATGAAAATTCGCGTTTTTCCTCTACCTATAAGGTTACAAAAAATAATGATTAACGTATAATTAAATGTGATCAGAAAGATAGCAAAAGTCATGTTAATGTTTTTGTTACGTTTTCTCTTGATTGAACTAGAGTAGAAATACATATAAAATAATTATTATTGTATTGTAATTATTATTATTGTACATACATTTTAAAAGTTGTATAAGGGTGTAGCACTTTAAGTACTTCTAATTATTGTACCATGCACGCTTATTTTAAGGTTGTAATTTATGGTTTACACTCAACAAACTGTTTCCTTCCTGTGTTGTTCTTCTTTGACACAAATCTTGCAGGCTACTGACACTTCACAAGTACATCACATCATCTCTCAGTTGAGCACACCTATCTTACCTACTTTCTGGTCTGCATGCCTAGCTTCAATATATGCCACTCACGTTTTTAGTTGGGTAATTCGCCTGTTTGTTTGAAAACCTTCATCTTTTCGGGAAAAGATTTTTCATTGCACGAGTAAGTTCTTAATATAGGGATTTTTCTTTTATAGAAGAAGGTCGTATTAAATTAACAATAATACCCATCTGATAGTACAAAGTCATTTTGTCTGTACTTTGTAATGCATCTTAATCCGCCATTGTATTCATTAGTAGAAGTAGTACCGGTAACGTCATTTCGCCCATGAATATTTAGAGTTCTATTTATTCTCTTCGTAAGTGGATTTATGTGTAGATTATTCTTCTTATTAAACTCATTGACAAAAAATACACATTTGAATCTGAAATGGGAATCATTATAGACTTGTCCAGTTGAAGAAAGCCATTCCGAGTTTAAGTGACAATACATGGATACATTTCTCATACTTCAGTTATATTTCAGTATTGATAAGGATTAGTGTCACTTTACTCACGTCCTTCTCCATCATTTATCATGAAATGTGAAATTCTTACCATATGAAAATTCAAATATCAATTCCGTCGTGTTGTGCATGTATGTTGTGAGTATTTGATTAGCAACTTTTGGAATGCTTTGTGGGTGCTTCGTGGTTTGACTTCTTCTAGCAGTTCTCATGACAATGTCTTTATTGTCTTCACATTACGATCTTGTTACTGTCTGGCTGAGATGCTGTGTGCTGCTAGGTCATCTATCAAGTCCTCGGTTCTGCAGAGTTTTCTGCTGGCCCCAGGCACCAAGTGGTGTGGTCACAGTCACGCCGCCTCCTCCTATACTGACCTCGGTCATCTGTTTGGCCTCGACAAGTGCTGCAGGACCCATGACATGTGTCCCAAGATCATCCCCGGGTTTTCCTCCGTGTACGGCTACCTCAACTTCCGGCCGTTCACCATCAGCCATTGCTCCTGCGACAATAGGTAACTCTTCGTAGTGTGGTTTGGCTTTGCTTCACCAGAGTTTTCAGGTCCCGCTGACGAGTGTAAACTGTAAGTACTGTATGTGAGTATTGTTTGAGTGGTGGTGTGGTAGTGCAGGCGGAAGCGCGACCTGACTGATCTGATGAGGGTGCCGGGTACCAAGTGGTGCGGCAAGGGCTACTCCGCCACCAAGTACCACCAGCTGGGAGGGTTCGGCGCGGCGGACAAGTGTTGTCGCGTGCACGACACGGCTTGTCCCTTCTACATTCCCGCCTTCGAGGAGAAGTACGGCCTCTTCAACTGGAGGATCAACACGCTCATGCACTGCAAGTGTGATTCCAGGTCGGTAGTGTGTCCCTCACCTGTACATTTAATATTCGCAGGCATTTCGAGCATGTCTTGTTTAATAACCAAGATTTTCTCGCGCTGTAAAATCTGTAAATTATGATACTGTAAAATCTAGAGACATAAATTAATTAAATATCGAAAATCATTTACTTTTACCAACAGGCCTGTAGTCACGAAGATACAACTCGACCGGTATGTTCCTTGTTGTCAGAGCGGTCGGTGATGTTTGCCGACACATGCATGTAAGTCAATGTCAGTTGTTTTTAATTAATCGGGCGTACTTATACCTACTTTGAAAAACAACATGATATATAATCAAGGATGAAAATCGTTTTAGCTCATGAAATAATTGCGTTTTTATGAGCTATACTTAAACTTTATTGTGATTGTGAATATTCAAGCAGAGTATATTTCCAAGTGATTTTGTGTATGTGTACTAATATTCCATTATATCGAGTTTGAAAGAATCATTTGTTCAAACGGATTTGGCACACTGGTTACTTCAATCGCAAGATTAGCCACACTAGTTATGCAGTCAATGCGGAATACTCTTCTTTATAATAACTAATAATAACGTTGAGACGTTTGAAGATTCTCTATGTACTGATGAGTACCTGGATTGATCAAAGTTCAAGGCTCGGCCCCTCACCCAGATGACACAGACGGCCAGACATGCAGCATGCAGGCGTGGTCATGCTAATGCCACATTAATATGCCCGACCTTCCTCGCACAATAGCATTATCTTACAGACTATATTTTGGTTGCGAAATACCTTATGTATAGCACATTGTGCTCAATCGGAGTGATGGAATGTCAATTGATATCCACACATTCTTAGGCAATGGGCCTGAATGAGGTGGTTGTTCTAGTGTTTCCTCATAAATGTAAAAGCCCCTCATAAATAAGGGTAAAGAATAACCCTTATTATAACGAAATCTTATCAACATGAACGGTTAATGTTATGAAATGATGTAAACCAACGGTGTAGTAAATAAAAAATATGTTCGGCAGTATTGAAAAAAAAATTTAGGTATTCTTAGTTGGATGAATTAAATATACAAGAAATTGTCTGGGTAGTCGAGTGTTTATAGTGCTCGCCTTCAAATCTGGTCGCTGTTTCTAATCCACACGAGATGGCATTTGTCATTGGGCTTACAAAAACGGCGACGTTCGATAGTAACAAGACCATGGTATGAACCCTTCCCTTTTAAAGGGTTAAACAATAAAATAAAACAAAACTGAAGTTAACATAGTATCTTGGATGAATTTCTGTTATAGTAGGTGATTATGTACTTTCTCAAGGTAAACCTAGGCGTAGTAAAAAACTAATTGGTATTTATTAACACCTCGAATTTCAAATTTCGGATTTTAATAAACTGTTATTGAGATTTTAGTGAGAATGTCACATTCTTCGTCTCAACATAACTCGTTCCTCTTTGACTGACACAGACACTGTCTACTGACAAACCTTTATCTGGTTTATTGCCCAGAAGTCGTCTGAGGCTTATCAGTCCTTTTAGTCGTGAGTATGAATCATCTACGAGGTTTGATAGCAAACATTCGTAAACTTTAAAAGATAATACAGCGTGTCTTGGTAATGACACACTCAATACTGCAAACCATGTCAAAGTCTGAATACCTTGTATAGATAGATGTATGGATTTGTTTCTGAGAGTTTAAATTTAACTTAAAGGTTCGCGTCATAATATAGTTTAAAAAACGGGAAATAAATAACTTTTAAGATTATGTTTCAAAAACTTGAATGCGGAAGTTTTCATTGAGACACCTTAACCCTTAACACGCATTATGTGAATGATAAAAGACAAGGAGAACGAAGCTATAAATCTTTAGATGCTGACAAAAAGCCATTCGCGGAGACAATACAACCTATCTGAGTGACTTCTGCTATCGGGTTGTGCGGTTCACTGGCCGCTGAAATGATGAAGAAATTAACGGGCCAAACGTTGCTGATTTCTTTCATTGAGCCACAAGGTTTCTAAACGCTAGGTCTGTGGTGTTATAAATTTACCTAGCCGATCACAGTTACTTCTAAAACATGGAATAGTGTTATGTTTTGCTTGTTTAAATATGTATGTAACTAATTGAAAGTCCCAATGAAAAACGGGGATAACCCACGAGACATTTAAACACAATCAAATCCATTTAACACACTATGTGTTTTTTCCATTACACATAAAATTAATAATGTGCTCACTCCACAATCATATTGACTACTGTGGTCAATGTAATAAAATTCAAAATCCAAACTATGACTACTAAGAAGGGTTTATAGTATGGATTTTGAATTTATTACTCGTATTTCATTAAGTATTTTGTCACTAGAATTTATTACGTATCCTTACAAGAGTAAGGGCTACATAAACTGAATAAGATGAAAACTTAATACTTAAAAATATATATTAATAATACTGAAATTGTTGATCGATTAATCCAAATGCAAAAGCGGAAACTTAAAATAGGCTTACAGAACTTGTACATGTTTTGAAATAATACACACACCATTGTATAATTCGCCATCATTTTCTCATATTTTTATATTTTTAAATTATTTATTTCATTTATTGCCATATTTTTTGCTTATTTTGGTTGGATATCATAATCCAGCCTCATTCTGAAATCCTACGATTTATATAGTATCAATAAAATGATTTACAGTTCAAGAGTTGTCAAAGATACAATTTTAAACTCAGTTTTCATTGAATTGTGTAAAAATAAAGTACATGTAAAAAACTAAAACCAATAATAATCCAAACATTTATTGGTTTAGCTTTTTATCTACTACAAAATATAGTAAAATAGGATACTTTTTGAAAGCCTTATTTTAGCAGCACATATAGTTTACTAAGTGAAACTATTTATTAAACAATGTACACGCAACAAATAGGCTCACGATTAGTCTTACAACGAATAGAAAATAGATTTTGAACCTGACTTACGAAAATAAAGAGATCCAGGAAATTCTTTCTTACAAAGACATTGTTAAACTGTTAGAAAAATCACCTGTGAGTAGAGGACTTGAAGTGTTTAGGCAGAGGCTCTGGCGAGGAACAAACAAACATTCACTTGCTCTCAGAAAGTAGTTTAATTTTAATGTTCTTTGGTTTCCTTCTCAACACACTTTCTTTTAAGTTTTTCATCAAGTTTCTTATCAAGTTTAGTGTATCACATACTAAGGGTTGTTAGCTCATTACTATCATACCCTTTTTGTTATTTACAACGAACTGTACTTGCATATAAAACGTAAACACTCATTTTGACAGTAAGGCAAAACGTATCATGCGGCTTTGAAATAAAAATAACCTAAATAAGAAAAAAATATAGTTAACAGTTTAAGAAACCCAATTTAATTAAATTTAAACTCAACTCAACCGAAGTTTAAAATATCTAAGTAGTTTCTTATGTTATAATTTTAATCATTAGACGAATTGGAATTTCCTCAGGTTCCGTGCATGTCTGAAGATGGCAGACACGGGCCCCGCCAACCTGGTTGGTAAACTCTTCTTCAACATCGTCCAGACCAAGTGCTTCGTACTCAAGCCTGAGAAGGTCTGCGCCAAGTGGTCGTGGTGGGGAAAATGTAAGTTTTAAATTCGATCGGAATTGTATATTAATACACATAAAATAAGCAATCCTTGAGATTAAATAGATATTAATGGTAGGATTTCTAGCATGCACACCAAAGAGGATTGAACACATCTTTACCCAGTATTAGTGATGTAAATGTTTCACAAAATAGTAAACTTATTTATTTCGAAACCTAATGCTCCGAATAAACCGTTAAAATATGAGACTTATTTTAATTCATTAATGTTTAACTCTAAACATAAATCACGACAAATACAATATACTGTCTGCACATGTATAGTCTGATACAACTAAGAGGAGCATTATGTAATATGACTTTTAAGACCCAATCTTCAAAAGTCTATTTTTATGATCTCAATACCCATTAGTACTTCTGATTGATTATTTCCATTGAAGTTACATACAGTTTTCGCTTTAAATTCAAAGTATAACTTAGGAGCTTACTTTACACAACTTATTATACAAGTATTGTCACCACTCCATGTAAAAAAATACCTCTCGAGGAGCATTAAGGTGTAGCTATAACTATCTCTTACCCTTAATTAATGAGTCTTACTCTATTTTACACAAGATATCCTTATTTTGTGTATATTTGTTGACTGAATGGATAATGATTGTTTCAGTTATATAACTATGGTATTTTTTACAGGCAAGAAGATGACGTATCGTAAACAAGCTCATATACGAGACAACCTTCCCTTTTGAAGATGGAGCGAGCATTTTAATATGAATTTAAAAATCGAAATTGTAATTAATATTTATTGGGAAAGAATTTAACATCAGCTTTAAACGTTGCATGAAATCTTTTTTCATTACTTAAATAGAATGTGTTTATATGATGTTTTACATTAAAAATCATTTAAAATATTAGCTTCGCAAGATTAGGCCATTCTATAGTTTCAACACAATTTCAATTTCATCACTTAAAAATCAAAATCTTACAATACAAGTTAGACACATACATTAACAAACAAATGAGACTTGATCCAAAATGACCTGCTAATATTTAGAAGGCCAAAAGTTAAGAAATTTCATTTGAGAATCTAAATTATAAAGTGTGCATGAGGTTGTAAAAGGTTTATGAAGTTTTCAATATTCATGCTGTTTTATGAATAGCAGAATTATTATATTTGTTTTAGTGGAACTAAAGTTAAAAGCTACTGGTACATTAACTTATTTCTTACCAAAGAAACGGAGTTTAATAAATAGTTTATATTTCTGTTTCTCTAAAGGGTTTTCTACACTCACAGTATTATTTAAAGGTAATTTGTTTTTAGCCTTAAACGGTAGCTCATTCTAGGAAAATACAAATGATTTATTAAACATTGTATATTTTGTACCAATTATATTGCAGGATTCAATTACTATATCGCATCTCAACAGTTGTATTTATTTAGTTAATTTGAACAAAGAAATAAGGAATTAAACTAGTAGAAGAAATTATTGGTAAATTGACTATATACAGTATTTAGATATGTACAGTTAGTATATAGTGTAAAGATGTATATTGTATATACGTTGTTGATAATTGTTGTTGTGCAATAACTCTTTTGTATTTTAAAATCTACTTTATTAGTACGAGTAGACATGTATATATTGTTTAAAGCTACTATTAAGATAAATAGATTATTTATGAAACTATATAGAAAATTTTTTTCGTGGGAACCATCCTTTCAATTTCCATTACAAAATTCGACCATATTTTAAAAACAACAATTATCTTGGCTCTGGTCTTTACAATGCAATACAATGGTGTGTGTATTGTTTCAAAACATGTACAATTTCTGTAAACCTTTTTTAAGTTTCCACTTTTGCATTTGGATTAATCGATAAAATCATTAATACATTTTTTAGAAATACCTATCGTTCATTGTACTATCCAAGTTTCATAAAAAGACAATAGATAGCTGAGAGAACTGTACGAAGTGATAGAAACCAACATTACCACAGTTCATGAAAAAGGCCTACATTAACTCTACAAGCAGGTATGTAGTTAATACTAATACCCAATTTCATTCAACATGAAATGTAAATATTTTGGACGCGTGTATTTATGGGAACACAAAACTCATTACTTACTATTATCAAGTCTAACACGTTTGTGTACATTTTACTTTTCTTAATAGAAATATTTTTTATTCTATGAATTAGAACATCATGATCATAAACTTTGCCAAAAAAGCAAAACAAATCAAACTCGTTATTTTGCAAATATCAGCAAATATTCTTATCTTAGTTTACGTCAGAGGCCTTAATCTATAATTGACCTGAAACCAACTGATAAGTCCTTCTTCGAAAAGTTTGTTAATATTGGGGCAGAGGATATCATACTATTTAATAATAGTCCGATAATCAGGTCATTTTTTATACTTTAACGGTGACTTCAATTAAATAAATATTACATTAGATAACAGATAACCATAATCAAAAGTTGAAGAGGGTTATCAATAAGTATTTAAAGTGTGCTTAATGTTATGAATTCATAAAGTCGCAAAATATCTCTGTATCTCCACAGAGAGATATTGAATCGTTTCACAACTTTCGGAAATATGGAAAGTAAAAAGATGAACTGTGTCTTTTACTGAAAAAATAAATAACCGGCACAACGACCGTAACAGAAAATATAATATCATAACAACGTAGATCATCGATCGGATTATAATGATAAATAAATACATTTGTTTCTCTAGAGTTTAGATTTTATTATTATTATTATTTTTATAAGGATATGGTCTTAACACGTTCACGTCACAAATCGAAAAGCGATATACTTTAAATGTACATCTTATATTTTTTCATTCACAGATATATAAATTCTAGTTTTCGAGTTGTAATAGAAATCTGGATTCCTTTTCCATGCCCCTGTGAATGTACCTTACAATCGACCCCTGTGAATGTCGTTACAATCAACAAGACTTGGTGTATAGGGAATTCAAAGTTTAAAGAACTATTTCTGCTTATTTCTTTGGCAATCCATTTTGTTTAAAAACAGAATTTATTATCGGCAAGTAATCAGTAAAATGCTAGCAAGAGTTAACAACTTAAAAACATTTGTTTGATCCGAGGAAATTGACTAATGATTACAAAGCTATTTAGAAACCATTTCTGAGAGAGGAGTTCGTCATTGTGTTGAAAACAGAACAGCAGGGGACCCAGCCGTCCTCCGTGAGGCACTCCGACCACCTACGATACGTATTGTCCCTTTAAACTACATTAAATAGTCTTCAGAAAGTTCTTCACAAATGTATTCTCTTGTGAAATATACCTAATTTATATGTGTATGCACTGAATCACTTCTGATTTGTGTGCAATATTTTTTTATTTATTAAGAAGGTATTAAGTAAATTTCAGAGTATTACTCCATGGAACGGATTTCTTTCTTCTTGACGGGATTTCTTTATGAAGGAATTTAAGGCTATAAAACAAACCGCATGAACGGCAGTGCACAATTACAACGAGAGGCTGGTGACTCGTGCCAACACATTCACGGCCAGACATTGCACAGAGGGGCTTTGTGACGGTGAGAGGAGCAGAAACAAACACCACACGAACGGCAGTGCACAATTACAACGAGAGGCTGGTGACTCGTGCCAGCACATTCACGGCCAGACATTGTACAGAGGGGCTTGTGACGGTGAGAGGAGCAGAAACAAACACCACACGAACGGCAGTGCACAATTACAACGAGAGGCTGGTGACTCGTGCCAACACATTCACGGCCAGACATTGTACAGAGGGGCTTGTGACGGTGAGAGGATCAGAAACAAACACCACACGAACGGCAGTGCACAATTACAACGAGAGGCTGGTGACTCGTGCCAACACATTCACGGCCAGACATTGTACAGAGGGGCTTGTGACGGTGAGAGGATCAGAAACAAACACCACACGAACGGCAGTGCACAATTACAACGAGAGGCTGGTGACTCGTGCCAACACATTCACGGCCAGACATTGTACAGAGGGGCTTGTGACGGTGAGAGGATCAGAAACAAACACCACACGAACGGCAGTGCACAATTACAACGAGAGGCTGGTGACTCGTGCCAACACATTCACGGCCAGACATTGTACAGAGGGGCTTGTGACGGTGAGAGGATCAGAAACAAACACCACACGAACGGCAGTGCACAATTACAACGAGAGGCTGGTGACTCGTGCCAACACATTCACGGCCAGACATTGTACAGAGGGGCTTGTGACGGTGAGAGGAGCAGAAACAAACACCACACGAACGGCAGTGCACAATTACAACGAGAGGCTGGTGACTCGTGCCAACACATTCACGGCCAGACATTGTACAGAGGGGCTTGTGACGGTGAGAGGATCAGAAACAAACACCACACGAACGGCAGTGCACAATTACAACGAGAGGCTGGTGACTCGTGCCAGCACATTCACGGCCAGACATTGTACAGAGGGGCTTGTGACGGTGAGAGGATCAGAAACAAACACCACACGAACGGCAGTGCACAATTACAACGAGAGGCTGGTGACTCGTGCCAACACATTCACGGCCAGACATTGTACAGAGGGGCTTGTGACGGTGAGAGGATCAGAAACAAACACCACACGAACGGCAGTGCACAATTACAACGAGAGGCTGGTGACTCGTGCCAACACATTCACGGCCAGACATTGTACAGAGGGGCTTGTGACGGTGAGAGGATCAGAAACAAACACCACACGAACGGCAGTGCACAATTACAACGAGAGGCTGGTGACTCGTGCCAACACATTCACGGCCAGACATTGTACAGAGGGGCTTGTGACGGTGAGAGGATCAGAAACAAACACCACACGAACGGCAGTGCACAATTACAACGAGAGGCTGGTGACTCGTGCCAACACATTCACGGCCAGACATTGTACAGAGGGGCTTGTGACGGTGAGAGGATCAGAAACAAACACCACACGAACGGCAGTGCACAATTACAACGAGAGGCTGGTGACTCGTGCCAACACATTCACGGCCAGACATTGCACAGAGGGGCTTGTGACGGTGAGAGGATCAGAAACAAACACCACACGAACGGCAGTGCACAATTACAACGAGAGGCTGGTGACTCGTGCCAACACATTCACGGCCAGACATTGTACAGAGGGGCTTGTGACGGTGAGAGGAGCAGAAACAAACACCACACGAACGGCAGTGCACAATTACAACGAGAGGCTGGTGACTCGTGCCAACACATTCACGGCCAGACATTGTACAGAGGGGCTTGTGACGGTGAGAGGATCAGAAACAAACACCACACGAACGGCAGTGCACAATTACAACGAGAGGCTGGTGACTCGTGCCAACACATTCACGGCCAGACATTGCACAGAGGGGCTTGTGACGGTGAGAGGATCAGAAACAAACGTCTGACATTGAAACTAACAACTCTGTAGATGAGGTCAGTGTCGTGATTATTCAGATGACTACTCAATCGACTGTTTGTTAAGCTTTTTAAATATTGTGTATGTTTAAGAAATATTAACGGAAGAATATATATTTTTATCTAAATTAATGTATTAATACTATAGTCTATGGCTTATTATATTAACTAAACATATTAGGCCACAGAGCAATTTGATGAACACTCAATTCACTCACAGTCTACTTCTTTCTACTTCAATTGAACAAAATTGCGTACTGAAATGAAGCTAAGTATTTTTCTTTGCCACAACTGGGTTTAATATTGCTTAGGTTATTATTTAACTGTAATAGAAATTGAAATTTCAGTATAAAAATCTTAAAAAAGTGTTTATATTATTATCCTAATGATATTTTGTAAGAAGTAAAGTTATTAGAGATTCCTATTAAAAATATAATATACTTCACCTTTTAAATATATACATGCATTTAAAATAATTAAAGGAAAATTATGTAACTTTAATAGAAGGTCTAATCCTTCTTGAGTATTCTATATGAAAATAATGCTCCTTTATTTATACTAAGGATGGCTAAAATATTCAGTTTGTTAAAAACGACAAAAAGATGAATTGTTGGTGCATAATCAACAATCAATTTCGAACAGCAACGAACATGAACATTACTGAAATTTCACAATAACTAAAGAAACTAAAGAAATAAATTACTAAACATTGATTAATGTAGCCTAAATGTATGAGTAGAACACCTGTTTACAGAGTTTACTCTTGTCAGTTGACATATGTAGTTCTTATTAAATGTTTAAAAGTAATAGCAAATCATAATGCAGTTTGAAAATGTGTTAATTCTAAGGAAATTCTTAGGTCCACAGCAATCGCTAAAGCTTGTGCAACCTGACGTTATAAAGAAAACATTATAACATTTCAAAGTAATTTTAAAATAACAAATTTGTTTCTAAAATAAGAATATCGACGTATACACACAAATTAAAATTTTAAGTGCAGTTTAAGTTTGTTGTTTCTATAGACAATTAGAATCCACATAATGATATCACATTTGACATATAAGAGAGGAAGTGATAAGGACCCGGCATTGACATTGACACTGTTATCAGTGAAGCTGTGCGGTAGTCAAGGTCAATGTCATGAGTACTGACTGTTTGACAATGAGTAAATTAGTATGCATATGGACCGTGTCCAGTATATACTTTTTGAATTAATTAAC